CCATTAAAATAAGTATCCCAAGCGGGTGAATCAAACACCATCCTAGTGCCTTCACGAGCCATCCATGATCCACCTCACAGAAGGACCAATGCTGGTCAAGAAAGCTTTTGAACCAGATTCGATGGGGTCCCCTCCACTTCGTTTGGTAATTGCGCTGTAGGGTTTTCTAAGTCATATTCTAAAAGATTTGGTGTTTTCTAAGTCATATCCACCAAAATTTTATCATTACGAGCTTTCCATATATAAAAAAAATCATGCTTTTTTTGGACTAGTGATATTAAAACTATCATTTGAAAATTTGAACCAATCATTGGGACCCGACCTAAAACCAAAATCATAATCCAAAAAGATAAGATACGCACCTCTTGAATACGCTTCATAAGGTAGTAAAAGCTCGAGTTAGAAAAGGCTCTGAAAGTGCCACCAAGAACCACCGTGTCCGGCGCAATATCGAGATTGTTACCACCATCAAATGAAGTCACTGACACAACCTACATGTAGACAAAATGCAACTCAGAATTGAGGTTTAAACTTTCATTTTTTGGTAGATTTTGAGAAGCACCTGAGCATCAAAAGGGTTGGCTTCACGAGATACAATGCCTTGAAGGCTGATAACTGCGGAAGATGCTGCTAAAATAAGATTAGCAGAGCCGCTGCTTTCCTCGAGAGTAATGACCGCCTGGAAAATCCCACATCCGGCGAGTAAAGGACCACTCCTAGATCCAATCACACCGGTCGGATGATTATGTGAAACATGGACGGCGAAGATAGCTTCCACATCATCTAAAGCTCCATCTCCGATCATTCTTTTAGCACCATTTCCAGCTTCTTCTGCTGGCTGGAATAATAGAACCACTGTTCCCTGTAAAAAAAAAATCGATATGAAACAATTATCATACATAAAACATACACATTTGTCTTTAAAATTACTACATTTACTAATTTAATTAGTGGGTCTAGTATTTGAGTTGAATTTGTATGCTTTTTTTTTTTTAAATAATATTAATTCACATTATTGTCATCATCATAGCTAAGCTAACACATGCATTGACCCACCAACAAACGAACTTTACCCAGAAGGCCAGAAGTCGATAAGAGATGATTAATCCACTCATAAAATAAGGTAATTAGACCAAAATCTTGTAAAACGCAAGTGATCAAAATTTACAGTTACCATCTACTAATTTAAAAATAGAGTTTCATGAAGTACCTTGAGAAGATGTTCGCGAGACTTAAGAATATGGGCGGCTCCAAGAAGCATAGTCACATGTGCATCATGACCACAAGCATGCATTTTGCCTGCAACTTTACTTTTGTGTTCCCATTCCACTGCTTCCTATTTTACATAACCACAACATAAAAAGAATAAAGTCTTATCAGTATCCTCATACCTGATCATGTGTGGCGCATTGTCTCTATCAGTGAGTAACTAGATAAAAAGGACACAACATTTCCTAAAATAGCAAATTCACATGGTCACACGGAACAAAGAATATAATCAAAATCTTGTTTATAAACAGTATTATGCAAATACTATTCGATTAACATCTCAAAACTGTTTGCATTATTTCTCAGTCTTTGACTTTCCTATAGAAAACTTTGGTAAATATGTAAAAGTTTTTACAATAACAGTTTTTCTCTTTTTTTTCTTTTTTAATACAATCTATGAATATATAAAGCACAAAGATCTATATACACCAAAAGATAAAATCAAGAAATATTTACTCTTTGTTTACCTGAATAGGGAGTGCGTCCATATCAGCCCGGACAGCAACAAAAGGTGGGCCACCGGATCCGATCCAAGCCCGTATACCCGTTTTAGCAAGCGGATACCTGTAACGGATACCCATACGGTCCAGCTCGGTACGAACAAGCTTACTCGTCTCGTACTCCTGGAACGCTAGCTCCGGGTTTTCATGGATCGTCCTCCTCACGCGTTTGAGCCACGACACGTTCTCTTCCTCATAAGCCAGCCTGAGAATCTCTTGAGAACAGGCCTTGGTCCAGACCTGACACTCGTTTGACCCGACCAGAGTAGGTGGGGCCGATGACTGGTTCGTGGTCGGAGTCGGCCGCAAAAGCATCCCGAAAGGGTTTTTGTTTGAATATTTCATTTCCAAGAAGGGTAACTCGGTGGCGACGACAAGAGAGACGATGATTATGTTTAGGGAGACAGAGAGAAGGTTAAGCTTCCGGAGATTGTCCATAACTTGTTCTTCTCCTTTGGACG